TTACCTCCAGGTTAACGCATCCTTCCCTGATCAAGAAGATGTCCTGCTCCATCTTGGAGTATTTGCAGTCGGGCTCCCCGTTGGATCGAGAGGTATCAGGAATAGTGTCTTCATCCTCTGGTTGTGTTGTCGCGGCCCTCTTTTTTGAGGCTGGGGGCGCGACGGGGGCTTGCGTGTGCATGCTAGCCTTAAGGTTCTGATTTTCTTGTCTAATTGCCTGTATCTCGTGTCTAGAGGCCTTAAGTTCTCTAAGGAGGTTTTGATTCTCTCTCTGAAGCGCCGCCATCTCAGCTCTGAACTTAGCGAGCTCTGCCGCTACCTCTTGTGGGATTTGGGAGGGGGGTGGTGCGTGGGGCGGGTGGGTATGGGAGGATTGAGAGTGGTTGACCTCTACCCCGAAGCTTACCATTTTAGAGGTGTCCCGCGCCTTGGGACGGTGCCTGGAGCTCGGTCTCCTGGTGTTTCTTGCCGGTCCGTCTGATGACCTCGTTCTGTCGGTGGACGGTGTTCTGCCCCGGTTGATAGAGGGGGACCTCGTTGTTCGCCTTTCTCCTGCCGGTGACTTACTCGCCGATCTGCCTCTGTCTGGGAGGGCGGGCCAGTGCTTGGTGTCGTCGGTGTTGGGAGGCGGTTTTTCACTGCCTGGAGGACCCCTCGCCCAGGCAGAGGTCGACTGTGGGGCTGCTTGCGACGGTTGCCTGCGGCGGGGTTGGAATCTCTTCGGGCATTCCGGCGTTCCCATGAGGTGTGGCCCGCCGCATACCACGCAGCGAGGCGTGCATGGATGGTCATTTTTGGGGTTTTCTAGGCCGCAGTTGGCACACCTGATGATCTGATGAGGGCAGACATCCCGTCGATGTCCCTTTTGCCAGCACTTGGTACATGCTTCGGTCTTCTGTCGATACGGGGTACACCGGTAAGTGGCTGGCCGGTAGCGAACCCAGAAGGGTACTTTTGGTCCGTTGAATAGGATTTGAACTGCGTTGGTTTCCCCGAGACGCTTTGCTGCGAGTATAGGCAGGTCAGGTTTGGACCTGATCAGCACTTGGTTGATTTCGGCTTGGGAGTCCTCCTCAGGGATGTTGAATATAATTCCTGCAGTGGTGTTAGCCGGGGCCGAAACGTGCGCGGCGAATTCGTATTGCTTGCCTTTGACCATTATTGCGGTGACTGAGCACAGTTTCCTTGTGCGCTCTTCATCCGGGGTGCTGACAAGTAGGTAGTTGGCCTTTGCAAATACGAGGATTCTGTTCCTTGAGTCAGATGTAAGCTGTGCCGCCTGAGTGATGCAGTCGGCTAATGTAGTGGGTGAGACGGTGCTGAGATTTAACCCACCTCTGGGGCGAAGCACTACTTTGACGTGGTCCTCCGGGATGCGTTCAGCCGGTGGAGCCCGATGCCTGGGTCGTCCTCGCGCTGGGGCCAGTCCGGTGCTGCACTTTGTGGTCGCTGGCGATGGTGGTGGAGTCGAGGCGGGCTGGCTGGCCGCGTCTAGGACCCGCTGGCGCCTTCGGATGACCGTCCAGGACTCGTCGTATTGCTCTGGGGGGAGGTCTTCCCCGGCTACAACAACCTCCATGGCCGATGTCGTTCCTAGGCCCAACCGCTAAATCGTGCGGCTAGGCCTCCTCCCTCGAGACAGCCGATCTCTCCTTATTACGACGAGAACTCAAGTCCACTCCGCAACACAAAGTCGAGAAGAGAAGTCAGGACCCTCGGCCGGCGCTCGGAGTCGCCGGAAGGATACACCCAGATCTGAAGAAAGAGTACCTCAGGCTGCTTAGCGCTCGACAACCAGAGCGGCGCGCTCTCAAATGAGATGATGAATTTTCGGGAGGACATCTGCGTGCTTGCATCGCTGGTAGCGAAGGCCGGGTGGGACGTAATAAGGTTCAAGTTTACGTTGCATGTTCAGCTTGAAGTGATAGACGTAATGAGGCGGAGCAGCTCTGCCTCTCCGAATGCGTCGAAGCATGATCATCTTGTGCAGACGAAACGTGTTTTCAGGTATCGGAAGCGGTTCTGAGGTCCAAGAGTCGTCAAGTCGGCGTTTCCAGTCCCGGCAGACGAGGAAAACAGCATCGACTGGGTCGTACACACGGGCTTCGTCTTGGGGAAACTGATAATGATTGGTCCTCGAGGAAGGCACTGGCAAGCTAGAAGACCTAAACGCGCAAAAAAAAAAAAAAAAAACAGAAAAAAAAGCAGACGAAGAAGAGACTTATACTACACGGACTGGCGCTAACTTTCAACTGATTTAATCAATGCAAACCACCCAGCACACAAGCTTGAGCACTCTTTTCCTTCTTGTCAATCCCATGTGATAATTTGCGCCAGACCGTGTTTATGTCTCTCTTCTTCGTCCGTGTTTTTTGTCCTTTTTACGTCCTTTCGATCGCAATGAACCAATTAGCCCAATTCAAAGTTTTAATTAAAGCAAACGAATTGTCCACTGGGAGGAGGGGAAATTTCTATGCAGCTTCTCCACTGCAGTCTCGTGGGCCATCTTGCGGCCGTCAATGCCCGCATGCCGTGGTACCCTGCGTGTATTGGCTCAGGCGCTTTGACGGCGGTACAGGCGAAGTGCAATGTCAACAATAGCGGCAATTCTCGGACTCTATGTGAGTTGATGCGCCTTAAGAGCGCGAATCGTGGCCTGAGAGTCAGTGAACACCGTAAGCGTGACTGGCTCGTGATTCCTGACCTCATACGTCTAGAGGGCGAGGATAGTGGCGCGGGCTTTGGCTTGCTCCTGAGCAAGCCAAAGCCCTGAAGGCGATAAACAAATCATGATTGCAACAACGATAGTATCACAATCCGCAAGGTCATGGGACGGGACCACCGCAGCTGTCGCAGATTGACCGGATATGTACAGGGCAGCATCCGCATACCCGATGACCTGCACAGGGTGCTGAGATAATGCGGTGACTTTTGCTTGGTGTTGACGGTCATAACGCTCTAGACGCTTGGCGTGGCGCTTGGCATCCATATTCCGCAGGACAGGCAGGGCATGTTGCTTGAGATCGATGAGATCCCATAGAGGCTTGGTAGGCGGCAGGTCGTTGATGTTGGTTACAGCTACACCAATAAAGCGAGGAACTGCCCTCCCCTGGAGCGTATGCTCAAGCCGGGTCATGTGCATGTCGAGTTGCAGCTCTAGTGTTTCTCGAAGGTCGACGAAGCGCAGGCACCTGCGAAGCTCTGGCGTCAGTGTGTGTCGAGGAAGACCTAGGATGGTTCGAAACCTTGTGATACACCGTCGCTATCTTTTTGAAGTGGACTCGTTTGAGGGAGTGGACGCGCGAAGCATTGGCCACCTTCGCAGCAAGGACGGACGTGACCAAGATGTTAGCGATACGTTCTCCCGCGCAACCAAGGCGATGGGAGATGCAACGGAAGGGATGTAGGCCGTTTCTTCATTGCCGAAAAATACACTTAACCCATTAGGTTGCCACTTGAGGGCTCTACCCAAAATTTTCTCCATCAACATATCTGAAAAAAAAACCTTGCTTATGGGACTACCGTCGAAAGTGGGACCCTAGTCAAGGGTAAAATGTCCACGGCCGAACAACATGTGCTTCGTTTTTTCTGGGCAGGGAAGCATGCAAAAGCGTTGAAGGTGGGCGTGGATGGCATCCAGACCAGCCCGCAGCGCTGTCTTCTGCGTCAAAACCGAGCTTTGGCATGTCCAGATGGTAATGTTGTCGGCGAGGACAGTAGCTCTTAGGTTTGGAATACGACGGAGGGCCCAGAGGAGCGGCGCCACAAGAATGTTCAATAATGGCGCCATCGATACTGGTCCTTGAGGAACTCCAATTTCATTCTCCTCGGTAGTACTGCTACGCGCGTCAGGGCCGTAGTCTGACTTGAGCAGGTAGCGACGGCCGGCCAGATATCAATGGACAAAATCTAGTTGATTACCCTCTAGGCCTTGCTCGTACATTTAGGAGACAACGGATACGTATGGTACCGTATCAAATGCCTTCCTAATATCCACAGTGACCACGGCCCGGTGCCGCTGGCTGTTAGGGTGCCAGTCAGCGAGATCATGGTAAATCATGGCCACATTTTCGTGGTTACTCAAATTCTCGCTAAACCCCGTTGGTGTGGGATGAGAGATCGTGAGGTCTTCTACTTGTCACTGAATAGGTGCAAGCACCATTCGGTTCATCGTTCTCATGATAAATGTAAGGGATATGAGACGCAGGTTTTTCAGGTCGGCCTGTGGTTTTCCGGGTTTGGGGAGGGGAGTAACACATGACATTTTTCAATCTTCAGAGAGTTTATTCGTGTGCCAGATGAAGCTGAACAAGTGAAGTATACCTCCCCCCCCCCCCCCCCCCCATTGGCACGAGGTGCATTTGGAAGCATTGGGGCTGTAACTCCAGCGGAGCCGGGGGCACTCTTAAGTTTGCACTGGGCGATCGCTGCATCAGGTTCCCACTCGGTTTATGGCTGGTTCCCATGGTTTTCCAAGTCCACAATGTCTGCATACACGAGCTATATACATTGTGTGATGGAAGATTGTAAGGTTTCGTGAAGGATACGGAAGCAAGCTAGCCCCGGATATCTTCCATGGGGTCTGTCAAAAGCAGGGCCCGAGGAGGGCCAGGTCTACACGTCTTGCGTTTGCCATGCATAGCGTTAAAAGTTTGCCACCCCTCGCCGAGCTTAGTAGTCCTGTCGAAAGACTCTGATGCACAGAATTGCAAACCACCACGGAAAAAAGCCGTTAAACAGATTTATGTTTAAACTTGGGCTCATTCTTAGTCTACAGTAATGTATATGTCTGAGAACGTTTGTATACGTTAAACAATGATGGCTGAAAAATGGAAATTTTTTATAAAAGCTATATTTATTTATGTCTTCTTTATATTGTATCTTGAATTTTGTAAATTAATTTAGGAGGGAAGAGTGAAATGAATATTATGCAGTAACAAATAGGAAATCCCAAAATGACCGGGATATGGCACACCAAAAAATAAGAAAATTGTTCTCACTCTGGATGCACGGAGGTTCCAGACCCAATCGTGACTCTTGGTCTGTCGACCGCTTCCTGCGGATTTAATCCCAGCTCCATCATTCCCAGTAGAACCTGCGATTGAAGAATGTGAGGCCTCAACAAATGTGCAAAATGCACCAGAAGTGTAAATATAGTCATATGTCTAGTTGATATGAACCCGCGTAATTTGGGCATCCGGCTGTATGGACACCATTTTCGGGTACAAACAGGGATAATTCATGCAGTTTTCTTTCGCTATTCTCGACAACTCACATTATGGACGATTTTTACAGCAAAGCTGTTATGTGCTAGGATCTGTGAAAAAAAATGCGTCCAGGATGTTAACGAAAAACTCCCATTTAAACGGCGTTACTTCGTTTTGATTGGTCATGACATGTGTAAATCGAAACAGGGCAACTCACCTGAGTCAGCCTTCCTTTGCATTATTAGGTAGTGAGGTCCTGATTCCTTTTTATCATCCATGGGCACCGACCTATCTCAACTAAAAGTGCGCTGTGACAAGATTGAGGGTAGAACGCACCGATTTAACATTTTCTTGCGCTTCCGCGATGCTGATTAAGAGATTTTGGCTCACTCGGAAAAAACTATCCTTGAGGCGTGCCTCGAAAAATTGGGTTTAGAACTTTCCCATCAGTTACCATAGGCAATAGTCACTTTCACTGAGAATTAAATAAAGACAAACAACGAAGTCGTGTACATGTCTTCATTGCAATCACATGTAAATCGTATAGATGTCGTAGAGTTGAAGTAAAGTTGTCGTAAAGCTGTAAACTTATCCTAAAGATAAGAGCTTTGCTGGTCCTCCGACTTCCCGTAAAACGTGTGAACTCTACAATTTCTTTTGTTTTTTTTGGGGGGGGGGGGGAGGGGGGTCGGAGGGCAGATGTGTTCATATATGAACGAGACATTAATGTTTATTATTTTCGAAGGTTTTTGATCCTCTTTTTGTTAAAAGTATGCAACAGCGGACGATAAGAAAAAAAAAAAAAGCCTGCGAGCACATGGCTCCGAATACCTCCAGTGTTATGTAGCGGAATACTTTAGTTATCATCCAGGCTATTGTGCAAACGAGTTGCATTCCAGTGGCTGTTCCAGTTTTGCCGTTAATCCCCACCTGGTAGGCAAGAGATTGCAGAGTAAACGCCCATGGAAATAGTGCCCGGTGAAATAAAAAAAAATAAAAAAAACGCTTATTCTGATCTACGTCTCCAACTCCTTATCAAACATCTGATTATTTGCCGCTCAACCTGCCGACTCGGTCGTGTCAATTACGCCTAATTTTGACTTTTGTAGCAGAACTCTTCTACATTCGGAGCTGAATCAGTATTAGAGAGTTTTAGTAGACCGTTTTCATTTTCCGCTCCGCTCTGAGGGTGCCAAACTGCGCATGCGTGGCCTGCTTCGCCGGAATGGAAAGCGGAGGTCAAAAAATGCGTTTTAGTAGAGCGTTTTTCTTCAGCGTAAGATCGTTTTGAGAGGGTTCGAAAAAATTGCTTGCGTAGTCCCAGAAGTGGATGTTTATAGTACTATACTCTGTTTCACCTGATGATGTACCGCAGAAAAGGCTACAAGCGCGAGCTCCTTGCTCTAGGGCAAATCAAGGCGGCACAAGCTCTCGTGCGTTAAGAGTAGCTCCCAACGCTATGAGCTCGCGCTTCTAGCCTTGTCTGCGGTACAACATCAGGTGAAACGGAGTATACTAAGAAAAAAAACACCTAAACGTTAACACCAAGAGAGTGAAAGGGAGCGTGTTTGTAGAGGTAGTAAAACGAAGGCGACAATAATAAACACAAAAGAATAGGCACACACCCGAAAAAATACTATGCTATAAAATATAAATATAATCGTTCCACCTTGTGTGTGAGTGAAGCCGAAGGTATAAGCATGAGCATGTTTCTCTAAGCGGTACTTGCACTGCACGAGCGCGCGTGCTGGTCAAGGACGCTGAAAGGCCGGCACTCGCTCTCGCAGCTTCTGCTCTACTCAAATTAAAAATGAAACGGATTTACTTATTAAAAGTAGAAAAATGAAAGAAAAGGACGAAGTTTGCGCATTGCGAGTACATTATTTTGCGAAGTACGGGTACAGTGTTGCTTAAAGCTTTCAAGGCATCTGCACGATGAATCCCCGCTGTTCTCAAGGAAGGGGACTTTTACTAACGAGATTAAGCTGGCGAGACATTGAATCTATGATTTGTATTTCTCGTACCATCAAGCGCCGAAGCTTCCCTTCCGAACGCGGTTTGCTGGATATTTCCAACGTAGAAGAGAAAACCTTTTGGAGGCTATCTCGCTTAAAAAAAGACCTGGCTTCTCTGCCAGCGGGCCTCAAAATCCCAGCACCCCACAGATCAAAGCAGGATGTTGCCAATCTGGCGAGACGCTTTGCATGGTTCTTTGTCGACTGGCCTATCCCAACCGTCTGTTTGTACTTGGATGAGTGTTTGGATGGAACTTGTCGGTGTTCTTCAGTTTTGTGAACCTCATCGTGGCTCACATCAACGAGAGGTTCGGCCTCCTGCTCGCTGAGATGAACAAACATAGGTGGTTGACCCTGGCGAAACTGGAGCTGTGCTCACAGGTGAGACCCTGCAAGGTTTGTGTAAATTTCGCGTTTTCGTTGTTTCTAGCACAGCTGCTCTGTCTGGTAAAAAGTTACTTTTTTCTATACGCCAATAATTTCAGTCTTTACTTTTGTTTGGGCAATATTTATTTAATTCATTCAGGACGTTTAAATAAGTTAGAATACGTTTTTGTCAACGAAATAGCTGTTTAGTAAAGAAAGAAAGTCATGTCCAATGTACCGTCTTCCCAATTCATTTTCTGTCCAAGATACTGTCTAACATACCGTCTTCCAGGGCCTTCGATTGAGGGAAAGCGAAGCACTTATAGTTCCTGCAAATAATAAATATTTTGTGATTTACTTAGTTTTGTGGGCTTTGCGCACGAAATGTGTGCCTTTATTTCGTTGGAGGTATAGAAAACAAGAATAATTATATTTTTCGGGTTTTGACAAATCGGCACCCTCCCAAGTCATCGACACCACCACCGCGCCCCGCTCTCTTTGTCTTCCGTCATGGATTCCAATGAGGTGACATCGGAAAGCGATTCCCCTGATTCTACTTGGACGAAAAAACAGCCTCGTGCAGCCTTACCGGCGACAGCAAAGCGGTGCCGGTACTATGTTGAGTAGCAACGTGGGGCAGAGGCGAGAGAAATCCAACGAAGCAGACGACGTCCGGCGTAGCTTCTCACCTCTCAGCAGTGCTAAGCCTCGCGCCCGCTTCGAAATTTTCGTTGGCGATAGCGTCGCTGGATTCTCACGTTGTCGCGCAAAAACTGCTGGAAAGGCAAGCCGATACCATTAGGATTTTGTGGCAAACCTCGGGCACGTAAAACACGGTGCAAAAAAGCAGAATAATTGTCACGAGAAACTAGCGTTGCGTTGCTAAGGCCAGCAGCCATGTTGAGCTTTTTTTTTTTTTCAAAAGGATCGCGATTGGTCCACGGAATCGTGACGTCATGAAAACGATTGGCTGGCGTTTCTCGGCGTAGGACTACATTTTCCTCTGAGAGGCATTTCCGGTTTTTCTTAGCTTGCAAACGACTATAAGACTCTCTATTAGCTCAGTGACAGTTCGGCAAGCGAGGGGAGTGACAGCACAAGTTGAACGAGCCCTGAAGCCTCGATAACGGTTGAACTATCTTCTGTTAGATAGCTCTGCGTATCATGTAAGTCACGTGATCACCCAAGCGTTTTCGTATCGTGCGCGACTGTACGCCTGGACACTCCGATTGCAACCTAAAACTCCTTGGTGAGCGTGCACGCGCAGTCAAAACGGTAAAGTGTTTTCGTTTGAAGTGCACACTGGCGGTTCACGGGCTGCCGTAGCGTTATTATTTGTAAGAAGCTCGCTAGGGTCACGTCTGTTTTCCTCACTATCAGAAGTGTACTTGCTATCCACACGGTTATGCTTTAATTTTCATAGTGCAAAAAAGCTTGGCATTGCACGTACTTGCACCAGCAGATGAAGTTAAATTACCCCACCCTAGGTTGTGAAATAATTCCACCAGGTGGCGGCAGCCAAATTTCTCGCCGCGAATAGAAGGTAGGAATTAGGGTTGCGCTGGAAGAGGGAAAACTGAAGTTCCTCCCTGTAGCTTTTATCCTCCGGCATTTCTCTTCTAAACAGTGATGCACGCAGATCCGCCTATTGGGCGTCCGCGTCACTTAGACCGCTTCTTGCAGAGGTTCACAAAGAACCTAATGGTATAGACGCTTTGCAGCAGCTGTGCATGGACGCCGCCATAACTGACCTTCAGTTTTTGCTTCCTCTTATTTCGTTTATTTCACTCCATCATTACCATAGCAGGCCAGGTTATTGCCATATTAGATTCAGCTGTGTTTTTTTTTTTTTTTTTAAGGCATCGGCCTTTGTAGGGGATCGTCAACTGCCGTTTTAGTTGCTCGGCATCTCGATAAGACAAGAGAAGGTCAGCAAAGGCGGCTGTGATTTGGCGCGTGTGTAAAGCGTCTATAGTCACTCACAATGAGATAACGGCAGGGTGCAGCTTCAGTTGTCCCAACTTCAATGAGAGATTCCTAGCTTCGACAGCACTCAGGCGTCTTGTGCACCTTCTTCGGGTGTCAATCCGCGTAGTCCACTCCAAAAGAAGACGACTCGGACCAACCAGAAACTTTCCTACTTTTTTATATTAGCTTCCTGCCCTGAATGAAAACCCGAAACACTGCACTGCCCTCCTCCCCCTTTTTCGCTATCAGCGGGGCGTGCCGCCCCCCCCCCCCCCCCCCCCCCGCCCCCCTGATTGGCGCTGCAGTTGGCAGCAGCGCAGAGCCGTTCACACTGAGACAGTTGGGCCTTCTTAGAGGGGCGACGCAACGATTTTCGTATTTTGCGCAAATACCGCTTAGAACGGATCCCTGACGTTAATGACCTGTGAAATACCAGTTCGTTTTTCAGCACACGCAATCGAAGTCGCAGAAAAAAAATAAAGAAAACGAGCACAGTTCGCCCCCTCAGCTCGCAGCCAAAACAAGCGGCCACGTGATCT